CCTCTAGTAATATATTTACTGAGAAAAATGGTGACGTGTTCAATACTTATTTTACCCGCTGTATACTGTATATAAAATGTAACCTTGATATTTGAAGAATAACATGTGATGATACCAACAGAGTTGTTGTAAATGTCGGCGTTGCTGTTTAATTTTAAGCTTACTCGTAAAGCCATGTATGGTTGCACGACTGTTTCCTGGCATTATTTGCTGGTATGCATCAATGTGTTTGTTGCTAGTAATATAATACCTCACTTTAAACTACCACTTTTTAATTTAAGTGAGCCTACTTGAAATATTTATTTTTTAATGTATATTTTTATTTTATATTTTTTAAGTTCTTTGTTGTGATTTGATTGACCCTAATTCTGCATAAGTTTAGTTTAAGATTTTATTTCTGTGCTGTCTTGATCTTTATTTTTCTTCTTTTTATAGCACAGAGAAACAACAGCAGCATTAAGTGTTTGTTTAGGTTTCAGATTGCTGAAATGGACATTAATGTTAATTTGACATAAAAATAGAATAAAAATAGAAAAAAGATTATGAAAACCTTAAAAAAACTTTTCTTTCTTTATAATGGTAATAACTTCGGGGAAAAAATATACTGTTACAAAAAAAAGGGCAACCAAAGCTTAAACCCATTGCTTATATTCTAACCTTCGTTAGAGCCAGAATTAAAAGATTTTTCCAGAATCACAAAGGAAAACTGTTAACATTTCGATCAAAAAGGCTTCATTGGTGCGTTAGTTATTTAAAGAGCCTTGTGATTTTGCAGGGGTGGCATATGGAAGTCAGAGCAGTGAAGGCGTGAGCTCCCTCTCCAGCTCCCCGTCCAACAGCCTCGAGACACAGTCCCAGAATTTGTCTCGATCACAGAGCATGGACATTGACCCTTCCTCTTGTGAAAAGAGGTAAAAAAATCTACTCATGACATCTTACTCTACCTTATGCTTTAATTGTTAGACACTTGATCATTTGATTTGTTATAAGAGATTAGACAAATGAGACACTTCCTATAAGATTTGAGCGTGTGGAGATATCTAAAATACTTTGCCTTTGTCTTTTCTTCAGCATGTCCCAGGTGGATGTAGACTCAGGGATTGAGAACATGGAGGTGGAAGAGAGTGACCGCAGAGAGAAAAGAAACTTGACTGAAAAGGTAAATGGCTGCAGTATACCTTACTAAAAAGAGACTTTTTAACCCAGTTGGTTTTGTTTATTTTGGCTTTAATTATTATCTTTACTAGAGATAAATTTAGCCTTGAAAGGATTAATGTAAAATAAGTATTCCTATATAACAGTAAGTTGACTAATCTGCTTTATTTTAAAATATTTTGATTCCTTTAACCAATAAGTGGCAGCCGTTATTTGACACATGCTATGTTAAATATTTAAGTATTTTAAAAAAATTTCCCAGGAATCCTCTGCAAACTCTGATGTCTCAGAAGAGCAGGCTCTGCATCTTATTTGTAAGATCCTCCGCGTATCGTGGAAGGAGCAGGACAGAGATGTTATCTTCCTCCCGTCGCTGGCTGTAGGGTTTCAGCAGAGCCCTAAAGATGGTGCGTTTCCGACGTGCACCTTTTCACTTAAAAACTCAAAAGTTTTCTTTACATTTAACCAATAATTACGATTGGTAACGTGGCGGTTACTTTTTCTTGTCTTGCAGTGTACTCTGACTTTAAAGACCTCATCAGCCAGATTCTATTGGAAGTCCTAATGATGTCATCCCAGTCAAATATCCACAACCCTTTCGCCAGCTTAACCGCCACGTCACAGCCAATTGCAGCAGCGAAATCCCCTGATCATCGTCTGAYGCTGGTGCAACCCCCTAACCAAGCTGACAGTCCCATGGGTCCCAGTGCTGGGTCCTTTGGTGCCAGCTCTCTGTCCAGGCAAGTACCTTCACTCATCGTTATGATCTATGATGGTTGACTTCCCATAGACAGAGAAAAGCTCTGTTATAGCTTCTGTTTCATATTTTCTCTGTCTTGTGGCTGACRTCTGTTATAGTCTGCGTGAACTTACTTTCATCGTACCTGTTTTTAAATCATTTTTACCAGTGATCATGTTATCGATGTTATCCACAGTCTATATGGGTGTGGTAGTCCTCATCCAATGGCTTTGGATGCAACCAGCAGGACTTGCTCATCTCTCTCCACCCCAACTACATCCGCTGTTCCTTCTACGCCTTCTACTCCACAGTTTATTGTTCCCCCCAGCCCACCTGCTTCTGCCACTCTGAGGCACTCCCTGAACCCACCCTCTGCCCCCATGCCCATCTCCCAGCGGTATCGGCCATACTCTGTCACCAGTTCCTGGGGAGCGTCTTCCCCAGTGAGTCCAGGTCACAGAGGATTTAGTTTCCCTGGACCTCCTCCCAGCCTAACTGGGCCCTCTGTTCCTCCCAACACCCCTGTTCCTGCGACCCCTCTTAGTCCCCAAATCCTCTCCTTGAGCTCGCCAAGCCCTCTCAACCAGTCCTCCTCTACAGCCCCTTTTGTGGTGCCGCCTTCTCCCAGAATGAATGCTCGACAGGCTGCCTTTGCTACCAGGATTCCGTCATCTAGGTATCTCATCTGTCATTTGCATGTCAGTGTGGAGCGCAAACATACAAAGACCTAAACGATTTAAGATTAGATGTCATGTATGTCAGSTAATTGTTTGGCCAAATTATTTATCCTTTATTGGTCACATCAGTTATTATRTCAATTTCCAACTCTAAATGACATGTTTAATCTAATGTGTACTGTATATGATTGGAAGACTGAAAGTCAATAAAAATATTGAAACATTCTTTGCTTATGAAACTGCAGTCAGAAACAAAGATTCTGCCAACAACACAAGTGAATAGATTTTGTTTTGAAGTTGCATCACTTTGCATTTATTTACTTTTCCTTTAGCTGTTTGTTGCAGATTCTTTGAAGTAGCACTAATACAATAAAGGCATAGTTTAACAAACAAGATTTATCATTTTTGTTTGGTCATAAAGTTTTCAAACAACTAACATTTGGCATATGACACTTTGTGTCACAATCAATAAGGAACAAGTTAAAGCAGAGTCCTTTTATCATTTGACAACAAGTTATCTCTTGATGTGTGTTTGACACATCACAAAAAGTAGGCTTCAAAGAAGCATTCAGCTCTGTAGATTTCTCTGCACTCCCTGTCTTTCTTCYCTTGTGACTTGTAGCTATCCCAATTTATTTGTTTTTTTTTAGTATTTTTATCCTTCGACTCCTCAACTCTTGAATTTTTTTTCTCCAATCTCGTTCTCACTTCCTTCTTTTTCTTGTCCTGTTAGTCCCTTGTCGTTCCTGTTTTTTGCACTTTCTGATGTGTCTCAAGACAGCAATGATGAAGATTCAGAGGAGGAGGAGGAGGAGGATTTTGCACAGGTTCAGTTTGGGTCCAGGTACACCGCTGCACGGTGTGTGTTCATATGTTTGTGCGCGCTTGCTCAGGGATGGACCTACTGCATGTTCCAGTGGGTCCTCCAGGCTTAGCCCTAATGGTGCACAAATAGTCCAGGTTAGACAGGGTTGTACTGATGGAGACCTTTGGTCTTCTGGCTGTTAGATGGTTGGGGGTGCGGTCTCTTAACTGATTTTAAAATGTGAAACTTTTGAGGTAAGTATTAAAATATAACCAGTAAGATGTTCCTGCTTATTATGATTAATGTCCCATTCAAATGAACAAAAAATAGTATGAACCTGCACTAAAGAAAAATATYACCCTCATTGTCACATAGTGTTGCAGAACATCAATCAGAAACTTTCTTTACAAGTTATTGGTGTAATGTGTACTATTTGACTTGTGTGGTTTCTTTTTAGTGTACAATATTTATCATAATTCAGTTGCTGCATTACTTACACTTAACCAGTTTGTTATAATGCCTGCTAGACTTCGTTGTGCTTTGAAGCCACTTGTAACTTGGTATTACAGCTGACCACTAACATCAGTTTGAGCTTTAATCTCCTCGGTCAGATACGTGTGTAAAGGTACATTTTGCTCTTAAATTTTAAGGGATCTTTATTGTAATTTTCTTTTCTAAACCCTTTTAAAAGTGCTTCTCTTTAGAGTCTGCCTGATATTTGCTGCACTGTTTTTAATACTTTTATTTGTTCTTCAGGACCGTTGAAAGTTTGGTTCAAAGCTTRTTAACCACTCACATAACCATTTGTAGTTAATAGGGGAACTCGTAAYGCACTGGTATTTTTTTGTAATTTAATAACCCTCTCTGTTTTTGTCTTTGACCTTCCTGTTTGTAGTCTTGGTGCGTGTGGAGGGGGAATGTCAAGTGATTCAGCCAGTGATCGCTTCACAATTGAAGCGTGCAAAGAGACAGAGATGCTGAACTACCTCATTGAGCGTTTTGACTGTGTTGGCATGGAGGAGAGGAAAGCTCCCAAGGTGGGTGGCTGTCTGCGTGAGGAGAGAATTAAGTTTACGCACAATTCTAGAAATTCTGTTAAAGCATTAATATATATACTTAAAAAAACCTGAATATCTTTTTATTTATTTTATAAGTCAGTGTAGCCTCTTTCACAAGACAGTTCTGCAAAATCACTGCACAGACCAGTCCAGCTTTACATTCCCTGAGGTCATTCATAAAATCACAGGAGAAGCTGGCCAGGTCCCGCTCACATGTACGTGTTCAGAAATGAATCCAACAGAGCAGAACCAAAGGAGGCGTGGAGCAGAACTCAGCTCGGCTGAAGTGGACCACAACGTATTTTATCATATCAAACAAAACAAACAAAATAAACCTACTTAGCGATCCTGTGGTTCAATATTTTTTAAACTACCAGTAACTACAAAGTTGCTGTTCTTTGTCATTTTTAAAGTCTTTCGGTAAAATCTGTTTATTAATCCTGCGGTCGCTCACTGATGTCATCAGCTCATTACCATTTTCTGAGCGCAGAACCGGGGATTGCTTTTTCACAAGTCGGTCAGCCCGCCTCAAGTCCAGCTCTGATACTACCTAGGGGCTCAGAGGGGCGTCAGAGGTGGACTCACTCTACCCGCCTTCGTGTTTTTTCTGAATGCTCAGAGGACAGAACACGTGTCAGTCCCGGACTGAGCCGGATTACGAATGAGGCTTGTATCTATATTTGTGTCAGATGTTTGAGGACAGAACATTTTGTATTTCAGTCTAGTGGCAAGGATTGCAAGAAAAACCCTTTTTCTCCTTGATTCAGCAGCGTCTTTACAGATTGGTTAAATAAATTAAAGATTCATTTATTTTCTTTTCTTCCCAGATGTGCAGCCAACCAAATGTCAGCCAGCTTCTCAGTAACATTCGCTCTCAGTGTATCTCTCATGTTGCCCTGGTCCTGCAGGGGACCCTGACCCAGCCTCGGTAAGACACCCATCCGCTCACTGCGACCGGCCTCTGTTGTTTTCCTCTCTGCCACTGTGTGTACGTAGTTCTGTTCCTTTCACACCACATCTCCATAGCAACTCTGCTTTCAGTTTGCCTTTAGACAAGTTATTTATTTATTTTCTATTCACAAGATTTCCTGTCTTTTTAACTACATGCAGAAGCCCCTTACAACCATCTCTGCTGGTACCTTATATGCTGTGTCGGAACCTTCCATTTGGCTTTATTCAGGAGCTGGTGCGTATTACCCATCAGGAGGAGGAAGTGTTCAGACAGGTGAGATGCACATCTTTTTTGTATTCACTTAAAAATGTATTTAAAAACACATTTATACCAAACCAGTGTCTTATTCTGAGATCAACTCACATAAAAATCTGTCACCTTCTAGGACAGGGGTCTGCAACCTTTACGATCAAAGAAGCCATTTGTGCCCCTTGTCTCACTAATAAAATGTGTTTAGAGCCGCAAAACAAGCTACAACTGTGATTATCAACTGGTGGTCCGTGGGCCTTTTCAGGAACCTTCATGGCTAGTGGAGGTGACATTATAAAACTAAGAAATATAT